TACATGAACAGGAAAGGTTTGGAGGGATATGGGCCGAACACAGGCAGGTGGGACTAGTTTAGTTTGGGAATGTGGCATGGACTGGTTGGACCGAAAGGTCAATTTCCATGCTGTATGACTCTATGACCCTCCTTATAGCTAATACCCTCTAATCCAGGCAGCATCCTGGTAAACCACCTCTGTAACCTCTCCAAAACTCCACATCCTTCCTGTAATGTGGCAACCAGAATTGAGCACAATACTCAAGTGCGGCCTCACCAACGTCTTATACATCTGAACCATGACTTGTCAACTTTTATACTCTGTACCCCGACCAATAAAGACAAGCCTGCCTACACCTTCTTTATCACCTTGTCCACTTGTGTTATGACTTTCTGGGAGCTATGGACTGGCATCCTAAGATCCCTCTGTATATCAGTGCTCCTAAAGAATCCAACCATTTATTGTATACTTTATTTCTTGCATTTGACCTTGCAATGTTCAGCACCATTTGCAAACCCTCAGGGACTGAGGCAGTCCATGTTCAATGGACTGTTAGAGTAGGCGATGGCCTAGTGGTATTATCGCTAGCCTATTAATCCATGAAACTACAGCTGAGGTTCTGGGGACCTGGGTTCGAATCCCAACATGGCAGTTGGTGGAATTTGAATTCAAAGATATTTTAAAAGAAATTCACCATGAAATCATTGCCGATTTTGGAAAAACCCATCTGGTTCACTAATGTCCTTTAGGGAAGGAAACTGCCATCCTTACCTGGTCTGGCCTACATGTGACTTCAGACCCACAGCAATGTGGTTGACTCTCAGTTACCCTCTGAAATGGCCTAACAAGCCACTCAGTTGTACCAATCACTACAAAGTCTCAAAGAAATAAAACAGGACAGATCACCTGGCATCGAACTAGGCACCGGAAAAGACAACGGCAGAAACAGCCCTGTCAACCCTGCAAAGTCCTCCTCACTAACATCTGGGGGTTAGTGCCAAAATTGGGAGAGCTGTCTCACAGACTAGTGAAGCAACAGCCTGACATAGTCATACTCACAGAATCATACCTTACAGACAATGTCCCAGACACCACCATCACCATCCCTGATATGTACTGTCCCACAGGCAGGACAGGCCCAGCAGAGGGGGCGACACAGTGGTATACAGTTGGGAGGGAGTTGCTCTGGGAGTCCTCAACATTGACTCCGGACCCCATGAAGTCTCATGGCTTCAGGTTAAACATGGGCAAGGAAACCTCCTACGGATTACCACGTACCATCCTCCCTCAGCTGATGAATCAGTTCTCCTCCATGTTGAACAACACCTAGAGGAAGCACTGAGGATGGCAAGGGCACAAAATATATTCTGGGTGGGGGATTTCAATGTCCACCACCAAGAGCGGCTCGGTAGCAGTACTACTGATCGAGTTGGTCGGGTCCTAAAGGACAGAACTGCTAGACTGGGTCTGCGGCAGGTGGTGAGGGAACCAACAAGAGGGAAAAACATACTTGACCTCATCCTTACCAATCTGCCAGCTGCAGTTGTATCTGTCCATGACAGTATTGGTAAGAATGACCATCGCACAGTCCTTGTGGAGACGAAGTTCCACCTTCAAATTGAGAATAACCTCCATCGTGTTGTGTGGCACTATCACCGTGCTAAATGGGACAGACTTCGCACAGATCTAGCAACTCAACACTGGGCATCCATGAGGCGCTGTGGGCCATCAACAGCAGCAGAATTGTACTCCAGCACAATCTGTAACCTCACAGCCCGGAATATCCCCCACTCAACCATTACCATCAAGTCAGGGGATCAACCCTGGTTCAATGGAGAGTGCAGGAGGGCATGCCAGGAACAACACCAGGCATACCTGAAGATGAGGTATCAACCTGGTGAAGCCACCAAACAGGACTACTTGTACAACAAACAGCGAAAGCAGCAAGTGATAGACAGGGCTAAGCGATCCCACAACCAATGGATCAGATCTAAGCTCTGCAGTCCTGCCACATCCAGTTATGGCAGGTGATGGACAATTAAACAACTCACTGGAGGAGGAGGCTCCACAAATATCCCCATCCCCATCCCCAATGATGGAAGAGCCCAGCACATCAGTGCAAAACATAAGGCTGAAGCTTTCGCAGCAATCTTCAGCCAGAAGTGCCGAGTGGATGATCTATCTCGGCCCCCTCCAGTGGTCCCCAGCATTACAGATACCAGTCTTCAGCCAGTTCGATTCACTCCACGTGATATCAAGAAACAGTTGGAGACACTGGATACTGCAAAGTCTATGGGCCCTGACAATATTCCAGCAATAGTACTGAAGGCTTGTGCTCCAGACCTTGCCGCTCCCCTGGCCAAGCTGTTCCAGTACAGTTACAACACTGGTATCTACCTGACAATGTGGAAACTTGCCCAAGTATGTCTTGTACACAAAAAGCAGGACAAATCCAACCCGGCCAATTACTACCCCATCAGTCTCCTCTCAATCATCAGTAAAGTGATGGAAGGTGTCACCAACATCGCTTTCAAGCAGCACCTGCTCAGCAATAACCTGCTCAGTGATGCCCAGTTTGGGTTCCACCAGGGCCACTCAGCTCCTGATCTCATTACAGCCTCGGTTCAAACATGGACAAAAGAGCTGAATTCCAGAGGTGAGGTGAGAGTGACAGCCCTTGATATCAAGGCTGCATTCAACCAAGAGTGGCATCAAGGAGCCCTAGCAAATCTGGTATGGTTACCAGGGGGCAAACTCTCCGGTGGTTGGAGTCATACCTGACACATAGGAAGATGGTCGTGGTTGTGGGAGGTCAGTCATCTCAGCTCCAGGACATCTCTGCAGGAGTTCCTTAGGGTAGTGTCCCAGGCCCAACCATCTTCAGCTGCTTCCCTCCACCATAAGGTCAGAAGTGGGGATGTTTGTTGATGTTTGCACAATGTTCAGCAACATTCGTGACTCCTCACATACTGAAGCAGTCCATGTTCACATGCAAGAAGATCTGGACAATATCCAGGCTTGGCCTGCAAGTGGCAAGGTGGCATTTGTGCCACACAAATGCCAGGCTATGACCATCACCAATAAGAGACAATCTAACCACCATCCCTTGACATTCAATGGTGTTACCATCACTGAATCCCCCCACTATCAACATCCTGGGGGTTACCATTGACCAGGAACTCAACTGGACCCACCACACAAACACAGTGGGTACAAGAGCAGGTCAGAAGTTGGGAATACTGCAGCGAGTAACTCACCTCCTGACTCCTCAAATCCTGTCCACCATCTACAAGGTACAAGTCAGGAGTGTGATGGAATACTCCCCACTTGCCTGGATGAGTGCAGCCCCAACAACACTCAAGAAGCTTGACACCATCCAGGACAAAGCAGCCGCTTGATTAGCACCACATCCATAAACATCCACTCCCCCCACCACCGACACTCAGTAACAGCAGTGGGTACTATCTACAAGATACACTGCAGAAATTCACCAAAGATCCTCAGACAGCACCTTCGAAACCCACAACCACTTCCATCTCAAAGGACAAGGGCAGCAAATACATGGGAACACCACCCCCTGCAAGTTCCCCTCCAAGCCACTCGCCATCTTGACATGGAAATATATCGCCGTTCCTTCATTGTTGCTGGATCAAAATCCTGGAATTCCCTCCCTAATAGCATTGTGGGTCAACCCACAGCAGGAGGACTGCAGCGGTTCAGGAAGGCACCTCATCCCCACCTTCTCAAGGGGGCATCTAGGGACGGGGCAATAAATACTGGCCCAGCCAGGGACACCCACATCCCATGAAAGAATAAAAAAGCTCAGTCTTTCAGTATGTTTCGGGTAAAGATTGCTAGATTTCTCATTACCAGCAGGGTACAGGGTTAAGGTGATGGGTTAGTAGAAGTGGTTGATCAGCTGTGATCATGTTGAATGGCAGGATGGGGAATGATGGGCTGAATGGCCTGCTGGTTTTCCTGTGTTCACATGCTGCTTATTGGATCTTGCTGTGTGCATATCAGCTGTCACCTTTCTGACATTACGACAGTGAGTCCAGTTGAAGGATTCTTTTTTGAGGCTCTTCCAAGGTAGTGAGAGGTTGTAAGGAAATACAATTTCTGGAGAAGGGTCCAGACCCGAAACGTCAGCTTTCCTGCTCCTCTGATGCTGCTTGGCCTGCTGTGTTCATCCAGCTCTACACCTTGTTATCTCAGATTCTCCAGCATCGGCAGTTCCTACTATCTCTTTTCTTCACACTGTCTTTCCCATTCCAGGGGCTGCAGAGTGACAGAGTGGTAACATCACCGGATCACTTATCCAGCCTAATGTTCTGATGGACATGGGTTCAAATCCCAGCACAGTGGGCTGTGGAACTTAGATTTAGTGAATTAAAAATCTGGAACTGAAAACTAATAATGTCCTTCAGGGAAGGAAATCTGCTATCTTTATCTGGTCTGGACTACATGTGACTCCCAACCCAAAATTTCATGGTCTTGATTCTCCTCCGAAATGGCTGAGGGGTAATTAATGCTGGGTTAAAATACAAGTCAGTGATGCCCACATACCATGAGTGAATTTTTAAAAAACTATACAGCTCCCAACCAGCTTCAACCTGATGTAACATTTATGAATTTCAAAAGTTTAATAAATATTTCTTTTCTCTCTCCTCACGCTCTGTCTCGCTCTCCGTTCCTCCCTTTGTTCATCTTTTATTTCCACCTTCTGACCTCTGTCCTTCCTTCATCCCTGACCTTGATCTCCTCATTTCACCTTCATTTCACTCCCTATCTTGACCCTCATTCCCATCTTGTGCTCCTCCCCCCATCCCACTGCTCCCTCATGTAATCGCATCCTGCTCCCTCTCCTCTTCCACCTTAACTGATCTCCCTCCTCCCGTTCCCTCCCCCTTTCCTTCTCTCTTCCCTCCTCTGCCTCACCTCCATTCCTGCCTTTCCCCTCTGCTTTTTGCTCCCTATACCTCGTGCTGTCCCCTGTCTCCCTGCCCTGACACTCTCAGATGGCCACGTTCATGGGGAGAGACAGGTGGGAGCTGAGCCTGAGACTGCTCCTCCTTGGGCTCTGGCTGCTGGTAGTCTCTGCCCAGCAGACGACGCCGGTGCCCCCCCAGCGGGAGAAGGTGGCGGTCCGATTGTCAGGCTACCCTCGCAAGCATAACGAGGGCCGCGTGGAAGTCTTGTACGAGGGAGAGTGGGGGACCATCTGTGACGACGACTTCAAGCTGGAGAACGCGGTGGTTCTGTGCCGGATGTTGGGATTTACCACGGCCGTCGGCTGGACACACAGCGCCAAGTATGGCAAAGGGACAGGTGAGGGCTCGCGGGGGGCGGGGGAGTCCTGGATGAATCCCCGGTGTTCCCCCTTCCCTTTAACATGAAGGTTGTGGAATTAACAATCACAGCCAGCTGACTCAATCATCTCGGGCCCACGAGACCCTCCCAAAGAATTTCCCAGTGTAGAACAAGGCTATTCAGCCCGTCACACCAGTGCCAGCTCATTAAAAGAATTAGTTCTCCTTGTTCCCTGTGCTCCCTGTTCTGAGGAAGGGTCACCAGACCCGAAACATTAACTGTTTTTTTCCTTCACAGATGCTGCCAGACCCGTTGAGCTTTGCCAGCAACTTTGTTTTAGTTCTCCTTCAGCATCACCTTCCAAACCCACGATCACTTCCATCTCGAAGGATAAGGGCAGCAGATACATGGGAACACCACCACCTCCAAGTTCCCCTCCAAGCCACCCACCATCCTGCCTTGGAAATATATCACCGTTCCTTCACTGTCACTGGGTCAAAATCCTGGAATTCCCTCCCTCAGAGCATTGAGGGTCAACTTACAGCAGGTGGACTGCAGCGGTTAGACTATAAGACCATAAGAAATAGGAATGGGAGTAAGCCATTCAGAAACCTCAAGCCTGCTCTGGCATTCAATAGGATCGTGGCTGATCTGACATTCAGCTGTCTGAGAGAAGAAATTCCTCCTCCTCTCAGTCTTAAACTGGCCCCCCTTGTCCCACACTTTCCCATGAAGTGAAATGTGCTCTCAGAATTTACACTGTCGAGCCCTTTAAGAATCCCCTGTGTTTTAATAAGATCACCCCTCACTCTTTGAAACTCAAGGCCCATTTTGCACAAGCACACCTTTATAGGACAGTGCATACGTTCCTGAGAGTCAGTCCGTTTAGTATTCCGGTTTGATCCAATGAATCCTGCAGATACCTTCATTTTGAACATTTGTCCATTTCCAATCCAGCACAGAATTCCAGATAAAGGTGGTTAACCGTGTGGAAAGAAGTTGGGGGCCAAGTGCTGACCAATGGGATGTTTGATAACCAGTATGGACATGATGGGCCGAAGTGCCTCTTTCTGTGCTCTAAAGGCAAAAAAAAACCCCATGAGGTTCTAAATTCTCCGCATCTCTCCTCAGAGTCTGTTGCCAAAGGCTTTAAACTTCTGACCCTCTGTGGCTCAGAAACAATCTCGCTGGAGCCATTCCATTAACTCTATTGTTCACCCTCCATCTTGAAGAGCTATTCAACCGTGTGGGGGGGTTTGCAGATTACACGCTGACAAATAATCTTACCTGTTGCTTTCCAGGGAGGGTGTGGCTGGATAACTTGGATTGTCGTGGGACAGAGAAGGACGTCTCCGAGTGCAAATCCCTGGGGTGGGGGCAGACTGACTGCACACACGAGGAGGACGCTGGAGTTATCTGCAAGGACGAGCGCATCCCTGGATTTGTAGACTCAAATGTCATCTCGGTACTGAACCCAAACCATTGAACATGGACGCCACCCTGAGGCTCGGGGAAGGGGCTGGGCCCGCTGCTTAGTTAGCAGGACCCTTTAAAAAGTCACAATGTGGAGGTGCCGGGGTTGAAGTGGGGAGGGCAAAAACAGAAATCACACAACACCGGGTTATAGTCCAACAAGCTTATTTGAAACCACTAGCTTTCGGAGTGCTGCTCCTTTGTCATGTGACTTAAAAGTGAAAGGCAAGAGAATTGGAGGCAAAATAAACCACCCAGAGGGTGATGGGGGTCTGGGATGCACTGTCTGGGAGGGGACTTGAGGTGGGAAACCTCACAGCCTTTAAAAGGTACTCAAAGGGGGCGACATGGTGGCTCAGTGGTTAGCACTGTAGCCTCAAAGCGCTGGGGACCTGGGTCCGATCCCACCCTCGGGCGACTGTCTGTGTGGAGTTTGCACATTCTCCCCGTGTCTGCGTGGGTTTCCTCCGGGTGCTCCAGTTTCCTCCCACAGTCCAAAGATGTGCAGGCTAGGTGGATTGGCCATGCCAAATTGCCCGTAGTGTTCAGGGATGTGTAGCTTAGGTGGGTTTTAGGGGGATTTCTCTGGGTGGGATGTTGACACTGTAGGGATTCTATTCTATTCTAAGTGTCACAACATGCAGGGCTATAGGCTCAATGTGGGAAAGTGGCACTCGTGCAGATTTAGCTTCAGCAGTACAGACCCGATGGGCTGAAGGGCCTGCCCTGTGCTGTATGACTCTGTGACTTCAGCATTTGGCTCAGAAGCTTGTGATTTCTAATCCCCCTGCAGTTTTCAGTGCATGGTCCAGGCTGACCATCCCACTACAGTGCTGATAGTCTGGGGTGGGGTGGTGCTGCAGTGCTGGGGAGCTGTCTGTCCCCTCAAACAGGGTGTAATCAATTCCTCAAAAGTCCCTTGAAGATCAAGGGGCTTTTCCTCCGGACTTTGACCAATATTTACCTCTACGTTAAAATCACACAAAAAAATAGAATGTTGTTTGGGAATATTTTGCTGTTTGCGGGGTCTAGCTGTGCGCAAATTTTAAAGAAAATATATCCACGTGAGGATGTGGTACCGCTGGCCAGGCCAGTACCTATTACCCCATCTCTAATTGCCCTGGAAAAGGTGTTGGTAGACACCTTTTTGAATCAGAATAGTCTTTACTGTCATGTGCACTTGAATGAGCGCATTTGAAAAGTTTGTAATGTCGCTTCTTGGTACAGGGTATCTTAGGTACAGGGTACATAGGTACAGATACTTTACAGAGTTCAAAAAAAAGGTTAGCATGGGAACAGTCCAGAAAAAGTCCAGAATGATAATAGACTTGACCATAAGTACTTTAGTTTTAGCCCCTCTCCGACATGAGTCTGTGCCCACCGGCCCCAGATCACCAGGCCACACTGCCTCCATTTGCCAGCCTCCATCATTCCACTGTCACCATGGGACTCGGCCCTCACGCTCAGCTCTCCCTCAGGCTCCAGCCGTGACCTGTCTCCCCCGACTCCGCTCTCCAGGTAGGGCAGGGCAGACGAAGGTTGTGGGTGTTGGCGGGGAAGGGAAAAAGCTACAAAGAAGAAAGAAAAGGAAAAGGAACTGGCGAGCTGAGGAGCTCTGACTGGAGGGTCCTACACTGCCGCCATCTTGGATACATTCCCCTTTTGATAGGGAGGAGGGGAGGCTCCTATGAGGCACGAAGATTGTGGGGGAAGTTGGCTATTCCTGTGACGTAAATACTTTACATCTCTTTAATCAATCTTTCAGCCTCGTGTGGTAATAGTGGGGCCCAGTGCTGGATATTGTTTGATAAGACTCCTGTGAAGCACTTACGATGTTTCACCACTTCAAAGGCACTATATAAATGCAGGGTATTGTTGTTGAACAGTTGTTACCTCTCTCTCCTTTTCTCAGACAAATGGAGACGAGCTCTGTGTGTCAGCTGTAGAGCAGTACAGTACAAACAGAGACTGAATACCATTCCCACAGTCACGCTGACCAGCCCTTATTATGGCTAAGGACTAGGTTCATAATTTGGGATTGTCTTTTCTGGGAACCCATATGGAATCACTTCAGTGGATTCAGTAGCTGAGGAATGCGAATGCTCCCACACAGCTTTATGGAAACTTACATTCCTTTTGACTGCAGTCACTGCTGTCTCCTTGGTCATCCTGCTGCTCATCGAGAAAGTGGGCCTGCACTTACCCAACCATGCACAGAGAAAAGGAGACTGATTTCCCCCCCACCAACTTCCTCCCTCCGTCCATCACACTGGGATTCAGCAGTTGCTCAGTGGCAGTTTAGAGAGTTCGGAGTTTAAGATGTACATCAGAGATTCGAACCACTCAGCTGATGCTCCCACTATGGTCCTGAGGGTCTGCTTTGTGTTTTAACATTGAGACATTATTTCAAGGCACTGTCTGGTCATGACCACATGGTAATCCCCCTCCCCCAGCCCCGTGTCCACTCCCCCCGCCATCACACATTCTACACCCGTTTACTCCCCTGTGTCCATGTTTTGTTTTTCTTCATTCCTTCACAGGCTGGCTAGGCAGCATTTAATGCCCATCCCTAATTACCCAGGGGGCAGTTCAGAGTCAACCACATTGCTGTGGGTCTGGAGTCACATGTAGGCCAGACCAGGTAAGGATGGCAGATTCCTTCCCTAAAGGACATTAGTGAACCAGATGGGTTTTTCCCAACAATCAGCAATGGATTCATGGTCATCACTAGATTCTTAATTCCAGACATTTATTGGGTTCAAATTCTACCATCTGCTCTGGTGGGATTCGAACCTGAGTCCCCAGAACATTACCTGGTTCTCTGAATTAACAGTCCAGTGATAATACTACTAGGCCATTGCCTCCCCATACTTGAAATGTGATAACATTTATAGGCTGTGGGCCCAGTGCAGGAAGATGGCCCTGGTGTAGGTTGTTGTATGGTTTTTGATGGGCCAAAGAGCCTGTGCTGATTCTATGATGCGATGTAGACAGTTCTCCTTCTTGGCGACAGGTGCAAAGCGAGCAGATCGAGGAGGTGCGTCTGAAGCCAGCTGTACCTAACGCCAGGCAACGCCTCCCTGTCACCGAGGGCTTTGTGGAGGTGAAGTACAAGGGCCAGTGGGAACAGGTCTGTGACAATGGCTGGAACTACAAGAACAGCAGGGTGGTCTGTGGAATGCTGGGATTCCCTGCCGAGCGAAGGACCAACAAGAGATTCTACAAGTAGGTCCAGCCCAGAAACGGGGGTGGGGGTGGGGGGAACAGTGGGGGGCAAATGAGGGCTGGGAGATGATGGGGTGGGGATTGAAGATGGGAAGGGGGAGGTTCATCTGGGAGTGGATGGATTGGGGGGTGAAAATGGGGTGGGGGAGGTAGAGATGGGGAGAGAGGATGGGGTGGAGGGAAGTTGGGGCGGCGGGAGAGGATAGGGTGTGGGGAGAGGATGGGGTAGAGGGAGGATGGGGTAGGGGGAGGTTGGGGTTGGGGTGGGGGGAG